TAAAATATACTTCAAATAAACTTCAAACCATTTTGACATTGTTCTCCTCTGTTCAATGAGCACTAGAATATTTTTATTTTATTTTTGTGATTTTTCTATGTAAAGATATGATTTTTCAAAGTTATGGGCATTTAAATAAATAGAAAAAATTCCAATTTTTCTATTAAAGTGACACGGCGCCGCGTCAACCTACGGTGGCTCCGAAGCTCCACGCGACGTTCCTTGGTTCGGCGCCGTCTTCCACCTCAGCACTGACTCGCCCCTCGGTTCATGTATGAAGGCATTGTCTGGCTCGAACTCGTCTGTTCATCCGATACACACTCGATCAAACAGGTCCCCGTCATCATCCCCGATAGCCAAAACCCGTAACTGTTAACCCTAAAACCTTAAGATCTCACCCATTTCTCAACCAAACTCGTTCTGGTTTGATCTTATAGACTCTTCTAAGTGAGACAAACATATTCATACGGTAAACATGCTATTAAATTGGATCTATGCAAGTGTAGAATTGAAAGAAGCTCGGGACAGTGGGGAGGTTTATACCTTTGCTTTGAGAAGGGAAACTTCAATCAGAGGTGCTTGACAAGTTTATGGAGGTCCAAGGAGGCTAAAGATGAAGCCTCTTACTGTGGTGAAATGCCTCAACCTAAATTTGATCAAGACTTAGGTGTTGATCAAAGTCTACGGTAGAGACTCTCTGTTAGGGGGCTTTGATGGGGGAACTTCCTCTCTCAGTGTATGGATGGTGTGGGTGATTTTAATTTGGTTTTGATGGATTTTCAGAGAGTGTATTATTTCTGCCATAATTTTTAAGTTCAAAATTAGGGTTGCACAGGGGGAATTAGGGCAAGAGGACAGTGGAGTTGAGCTCTCTATGCTGAGGGGGGAATTTAGAATCAAATGGACAGAGTTTTGTTAAGGTTGGCATTGGCCACTACTCTAGCAGGGGATGGATGCTTAAATAGAGGAGCCATGGGGCTTTAATTGGGCTAGCCAGTGGGTTAACCCAACTTCTTAGGTGGAGGGAAGAGGGCTTCAAGCCTCCAATTGGATTGGGACAACTTGGATGGGCTTAATTGGGTGTTTGACCATTTTTGGCCATCTTGGGTTGGTGTTTTCCAGCGACCCAAGTGGTGGTTGGCCAAGGTTCAGTCACTTCTTGGGTCAGGGAGGTCAGGGGGTGTTTAATTATAATTTACTCCCATAGGCAAGCAATGATGGAAGAGATTTTATGGTGAAGGCCTAAAAATGGGAATGAATCCCTTAATTTAGAGATCCATTGATCTATAGCTTGCTTGAGTGGGCCAAATGGGTTTAGCCTGGTCAATAGAGTGTGCTTAGTGGCTGTGGAGTCATCAATTTGGGGGCTTTAAGATGGCTAGGTCAATTTTGGTGCATGGGTTCCATTTGGGTCCAAATGACCAAAGGTTGGGTTTGGGTTAGGCTAGCCATGACTTTGAGCCCAATTGATTGATCAACATTGTGTAGATGATTGTAATGAAGGTTTTTTGTGAAGGGTTTAAATGATTTTGAGTTCAATTAGGGGTTCAATTTGAAGGATTTTGGGATTTTGGACAATTTGGGCATGTTGGGCTAAACTTGGGTCTAGGTTTAGCTAAGGTTGGGCTAAGTTCAAATTGATTGTTGAAGATGGTCTATGGGAACATCACGAAGAATTTCAACATAAATGGGGTGTCAATTTTTGGGTTAGGGCAATTAATTTGGTGGAATTTGGGGACATAAAAAAATTGGGGATTTTTGAACTTGGATTAAAATTGAATGCAACTGATCTCATTTCTGTCATATCTGATAATTGCAATGCTTAAACTTATGATGAATATAAGTGTTTGCATTGATGATAAAAAATCAACTGCTGAAGCTGACAGACTAATAAAAAAAACAAACAGACATATCATAACGCATGCTGACAAAAGGGCCTAGGCAGACAAAAACAGTCTAACATTTGTGGCTGAAGTGACTAAGTCACCCATCTGGGTATGTGCTCTAGAAAGGATCCCTTTGCATACATCCATGGGTAGACTTGAGTCAAAGCTCGAGAGGTTGTAGCTCTTCTAATTCTGGATCAAGCTTGAACCAACGAGGGATTTTCCTTGGATCCATCCTCCTGAAAGTAATTGAAACCCGTCTGGTGCGTACTCCATGAATGCAATGTTTGGCTAGGTCTGCATCATTTCCTTGTAACACTAATATTGATCCACTTGGAAGCAAAATTTTAAATGATCCTTGAAACTCACCAGGTCCTAATATGGCAATCTCCTTGCCAAATAGTATGTCACACTCGGTCAGGATTGAAACTATAGAAAAGGGTTGTACAAAGTCATGATGGTCGATGTGGGGAGGAATGCAGTCCCCTCGATCGTATATGTTAATTATACAACTGTTGGGGATGCAGTCCATCGGTAACACCCTCCATCAAACCATCCTCTTTATCATTTTCTTTAATACTACGGGCATCAGATCCACTTGGTCATGCTGGAGTATCCTAGGGGGAACACCATCTTTAAGTGCAAAGTTGTAACAACATCTGCACTAGATGGTAATTCTTCCCTTTCCTCATCCATTTCTTTAGCTCAGAATATATTTTTTCGCGCAAGCGACCTGCCCTACCCAAACCTCTTAGATGGAAGACATAGTCCAAGATCTCTTTCTGATCCTCTTTCAAGAAGACATCAGTGTGCAGCTCTAATCCTTTTACCAGGTTGACTAGGTTGACTCGCTACCAGGTTGACTCGCTTCCCACCAATCTTGACCTGATACTCAAAAGTTTTACATCAAACTTTCTTCTTTTTTCTTATTTCTAGCTAATGATCATCTGACCTGGGTGCATAATCCATGTGTCATGGTATATAAGACCCTTATCTCTTGTTCTTTCTTTTTCTTATTCGTTGACGTGCTGGCTATGTAATACTCCAACGTCTTGTAACTCTGCAGAAATAACACATTTCAGTTGTGACATTCTATGAACGCCCCTTGTGGGTGCCCCTAAGGCATTCAACCCGGGCATCCCCCATAGGGGTTCAGATTCCCTTCCACTTTAAAGTTTGTAGGAGACATGTACCTGTCACAATCATTTCACCCCTGACAAGCCGATGTTGGTGTGAACTCAGGCAAACCAAAAATGATAGTCTTGACCTCTTCCTACAGAGGCTTGGTGACGGCTCCTTCTTTATCTTTGGCAATTTTGTTAAACTTGTTTTTAACAGGTGTGTTATGTATTGTCGACTCCATAGCTAGAACTTTCTCAGCCCTTTCTAGGGCCTTTTTCTTGCGACGAGCAACATTGCACCGGTGGGTTCTCTTCTTAGCTTGAGTCTCAAAGCCCCCTGCCACAGAGCTAATCATTTGGCCATCGGGGGTTACTAATATTGATTTCAAATAACGAGCATTAGACTTCTGAGATGACCTCTTCATAATTGGGGTGAAGGTGCGATGCAAGCCATGCAAAGCTGAAACTAACAATCCCCGATTTGACATTTTCCTGTAAAAGACAGAAGAAACGTCAGCACCCTCTAGTTTAGGTAAAACTCAGAACGATAAAAAGGTTATTAAAATCTTTTTATATTTATTTTAATGGAATTTTGAAAAACATATGCAAGAAGGTGTGATAAGAAGTGACATGCCAAATTTTGTTCGTGACAATTTTGAGTTTTGTTACAATTTTATTTATTGATGCCAAAAATAAACAAAAAACCCAAAAAGTAGCAAAAGAGGGTCGCTAAAGGTGTCAGGTTGCGTAGTATTTCTTTAAATATCGCCCATTAATCGGAAGCATTGTTCTCTCATCTTGACAATCCACTAGTTGATAAGCTCCTCCGGTGAAGACTGTCTCCACGTCAAATGGTCCCTCCCAAGTAGGCTCAAAATTTTCACCTATCTTGTGGTGTGCCAGGATAGGTCTTCTGAGGACCAGAATGAGCTCATCGACCTTAAAAGTCCTTAGGCGGACCAACTTATCATGGGCTTGAACTATTTTAGCTTGATAAAGCTCTAGATTCTGTTGCACTGCCAGCCTTTGTCCTTCTAAACTTTCAAATTTTTCTAGTCAAAGTCTGGAGTTGTCCTCTGTAGTAATCTTGTTTTCCACGGCCACTCGAAGAGAAGGCAATTGTATTTTTAAAGGGAGCATGACTTCATACCCATACACTAGAGTATATGGTGTGGACCCAGTGAGGGTCCTAACCGTTGTCCTATATGCCCACAATGCCTCCAACAACTTCTCGTGCCATTGTCTCTTATTGGCATCAAGGGTTTTCTTCAGAATTTTTACAAGCATTCTGTTGAAAGCTTATGCCAGGCCATTTGCTCTTGGATTGTAGATTGTTGAATACCTCCAATCTATACCATGTCGTCTGATGAAGCTGTTGATTTTGGTGCTCTTGAATGCTGTTCCATTTTCTAAGATTATCCTCCGTGGTACCCATAAACGGTAAACAACTTGGTTTTTAAAAAACTGTAGAATATGATGTGATGTCACTTCCCGTAATGGAATCGTTTCTGCCCATTTCAAGAAATAATCTGTCACTGCAAGAATAAATCTATGTCCTTTAGAAGAAGGGGGTTTTATAGGACCCACTATATCCGTACCCCAACACTCGAATAGCCATGAGGCGATAGTCGGGTGTAGCACATTTGGTGGTTGGTGAGGACCACCCCGTGTATTTGACACTGATGGCACATTTTGGTCATTTCCATGCAAACCGTCATCATAGCAGGCCAATAGTAGTCCAGTTTTTTGATCTTAATCTTCATCTTTTGTCCTGACTGATGTGTGCCACACAGTCTGACATGAAACACTTTAACAAGATTCTGTGCCTCCTTACCTCAACCACATTTGATCGAATGCTCTTCTAAACAAAATACCATCTACCAGTGCATATGACATTGCTCTCTTCAGTATCTGATAAGCTGTTGACTTATCATCTGGAAGTGTACCTGTCTGCAGATATCTGACGAATGGCTGTCTTCAATCCTCAGTATCCTCAGCTGTTGTAGTTACTATTACTAATCATTTTCTTCTGCTTCACATAGTCTTTCCATAGTCTTTCTATATCACTTTCTATATCAATTCTGGATAACACTTGTCTTCCTCTAACAACAATATTAACTGAATATGGCGGTGGGCATGCGAGTTCTTTAGCTAACTTTGCTAAAGCGTCCGCATGCGAGTTATTCCCTTGAGGAATCTTGTACAAAGTAACATTCGAGATTTGTTGTAATAGTTTTATGGCAAACTCATAGTATTCCTCAAGTCTCAGTTTCATAATTCTGTATTGACCGGCGATCTGTTGGATAATCAACAGCGAATCCCCGTATATGTTGACATCTGTAATACCCATCAAAATTTTCAGTTCTAATCTCGCTATTAAGGCCTCATACTCCACTTCCTTATTAATGCACGACTCTAAAAGATGATAGGAATATCTAATCATTCCACGCTCTGGTGTCACGAACACTAAGCCAATTCCTGCCTTTCCAGGTATCACTTTATGTGAATGTGAACCTTGGACTCTTGTATGTGAACCTTGGACTCTTGTAGCTGATGCAGCTCCGTCAAAATACATTTTCCAACATTTCTCATTGGGAGATTCTACATTCAGCACTTGCTCATCTGGTAGATTATCATTGAGAGGGGCCTCAGCTGGAAGCGGGTGAGCTGCCAGAAAGTCTGCTAGTATCTGCCCTTTGAAAGCGCGAAGAGGAACAAAAGTTATATCGAATTGTAACAATACCATCAACCACCTAGCTAATCTGCCAGCTAGCGTTGGTTGACTCAATAGGTATTGCAAGGGATTAACTCGTGAAATTATGAAATTAAACTAACCTTCCTTATGCGAAAGCATGTAATGTCTTAGCTTCTGAGCTGCAAAGATTAAAGCTAGACAATGCTTTTCAAATGGAGGATAGTTTACTTCTGCTGGTATTAGACATCTGCTTAAATGATAAAGAGCATTTTCGTTGCCCTCATCATTAACTTGTGCTAGCAAGGCTCAGATGGAATCGTCTAACACCGCGGTGTAAAGTATTAAAGGTTGATATGGGATAGGGGCCGCTAAAACTAGAGGCGTCATTAAATATTGTTTGATATTCTCAGACCACGTTGACAAGTTTTGTCCCAAATGAATTTGGCATCTTTCTTGATCAACGCAGAAAAAGGTTGACACCTTCCCAACAAATTAGATATAAACCTTCTTAAATATGCCAACTTTCCTTGTAGGGATCGTAGTTGTTTTAAAGTTTTTGGAGATGACATTTCTAAGATAGCTTTTATCTTATCTGGATTGATCTCAATTCCCCGGTGACGGACAACAAATCTTAGAAATTTTCCTGAGGTAATGCCGAAAAGCGAACTTTAAGGGATTCATCTTGAGATTATATTATCGTAACCGATTAAATACAATCCTCAAATCATACAAATGATCGTTCTTGTCTTCACTTTTAATAACCAGGTCATCCACATAATGTTCTACTTGTTTATGGATGAGATCATCAAATATCTTTATCATCGCTCTCTGTCATTTCGCTCCTGCGTTCTTCAGACCAAAAGGCATCACTACGTAGAAGAAAATTCCGATTGGTGTTCTAAAAGCTGTTAATGAAGCATCCTCGGGTGCCATCATTTTCCGAATGTACCCAAAGGAGCCATCCATAAAGGAGAAGATTTCATGAGATGAGGCGATGTCCACCATTAACTCTGATATTGGTAGGGAAAATTCATCTTTTGGACATGCCTTATTCAAATTCTTGAAATCAACACAGACTTGAATCTATCCGTTCTTTTTCTTAACTAAAACAACATTTGCTAACCATGTGGGGTACTGTTCTTCCCTTACAAAGTTAGCGTCTATGAACTTCTTAACTTCTGCAACAACTTGTTGTTCAATTTCCACCCTCATTCTATGAGCTGCTGCTTTACAGGGAGGATACTTGAATCAACCCCGAGTCTGTGAATAAAGATTTTTGGTGCTAAACCTGACCAAGCAAAGCAATCTTTAAATTCTTGGAGTAATTTGATCAAGTCTTTAGACTCCTTTTTGTCAAGCAGGGAACTAATGAAGGTATGTCTAGGCTCTTCCTCTGTTATCAAGTTAATTTCCCTTAATTCTTTGATAGTATACTTGATCTCTTCCTCAAACTCAGAGGGAGCATCTTTTATCAGTGGCTCTGCATAATCTTCATTAACATCCATACATTGTTCCATAGTAAAAACCATGCAAAATTTCGTATCATCAAATTTTCCTATCGTTCCGAACCCAAGACCACTCTTTGAATTAAAATTACGGGCCTTGGTATCCCATAGCTTTTCAAAGAGTTTCAATTTATTGTTTGGCATATGGCTTGACAATGAACCTTGTTGAGTTAACTTCTTAACATAAGGCAAAAAGTAACCAAAAGGTAATTCCATTAATTCATTAAAATTTTCTTCAAAGAGTACATCAATATTTGGAGAAGTAGTAGTAATATTAGCAGAGTAAAACTTGGTGGGCTTCATGCCATCAGTATGTACTTCTTTAACCCCTATGCTCTCAATCTTATTGGATTTGATTGGAGTTAAGGTCATGGCATGTACATAGTTGTTGATTCGATCGTACATCGTCTCATATGCATCCTTTTCTTCCTCTTCAACTTGAACTTTAAATTGAGGCTTCTTCTCGTTAATAATTACTTTATTTGAAACTCTTCATCACTGGTTTCCAAGTCGACTTTAATGGATGGATTGTCTAGTTTGAACAACCCATTGATTCTTATTTGTCTACGTCCCTAGCCTTGATCTCGGATATGTAGACTAAAAGAATCATCCTCCTCATGTGGAGTGGGAGAAGTAATGGATTTTTGAATTGGAGTCGACTGAACCCTCGCTCGTGCCTTCTTCTTTGCAGTGTTGTCTTAGTTAATTGTAGCATCTCTGGAGCAGATGGTCTTCCTTGGAGGCGCATAATAGGCAGCATCTTCATGGGTCCCCACTTCGTGAATTGAGAATGGTTGAAGATCTCCTTTAAGACATTGTTCTCGTCAACCTTTAAAGTACCTGATACACTGATGTAGGGACAACGGTACCATATTATACTCATGAATCCAAGGACATCTGAGTAAAGCATTGAATGAAGTTTTTGAATCGATGATATGGAATTTTGCAGTGGTTACCAAATCTCTGGCGTTTAACATCAAAGTAATAGATCCTAGAGCTCTTTCTCCTTTCTAGTTGAATCCCCTTAACATCATTTTATCATTATCAAGTTTTTGTGCATTGATATTCGGATAATATAATGTTCGGAGATTCATTATATTCAATGAAGCTCTTGGGTCTACTAAAAATCTGAAAAGAACAACTTTTCCAATATTGACTGAAATGTAGAGTGGTCTATTGTGGTCTGCTGTCCCAAATAAAAGGTCTTCATTTGACAAGGTGACTTCAGGTTGATCTTGTAATGAACAGGCCACCTCAGGGGTTGTACTAGTCAACTGGGCTAAGTAAATTTCAGGGTTGAGTAGGGCCTCGATGAGTGCGTGTCTCATCTCCTTTGATAGGATTAGAGCATCAAAAATACTTAGCTTCCCTGATAGTTTCCTTAGGTGAGCGAGTACATTATATTCCACTTTGTTGAAATCTTTAAATTGGTCTGGAAGAGATGTTTTCTCCACAAGTGAAGGTGGTTCCTCTCGAGTGATTGTTTGTTTCTCTTTCTCCATTGGGGTCACTCATGGAGGCAACACTTTACCACTCCTTAAGTTTACCTCTGTAATTTCTTCCATTTCTTGTGTTGACTCGATTGAAGTTTCTCCTAACGTCATAGTCAAATCCTCTGCATCTGAATTAACTCTAAAGATTCAAAACTAACTGTAATTGGCGTTCCTTTGAACTCGAGGGTTGGCTCCTCGCTCAATGAATTATCAAAATTGGAATCTCCTTCACTTCCACTATCTCGATCGTCACTAGCGGTGGATTGTATGATTTGAAAATTATTTTGAGAATTGAAACTACGAGTAATCTGGTTATCGATATCAACATTCTCAGAAGAAAGAGTCAAAACGTAACCAAAATTAGAAGCATTATCATTATAATATCCCGACGGGATAAAAAGATGATCATATAGAGTGATAGGCTTGAGGATTTTCTTTCCCAAGTCATTGAACACTACCCTATCAAAAGCAACTCCTATCCTAGGCTTCGCGTTATCAGTCTCAATCTTTTCCTTATCTTTGTTGATCTTCTCACATACGGGCTTTTCCGGTGCCTTCTTGTGTGTAACCTGAATGGACGGTTGACCCTGAGTGGTAATCTGAGTAGGTGGTTGATCTTTATTAGCAACTTGAGCTGGAGAAATGTGAACATTGCTTAAAATCTTCTTGGATGACTTATTCCAAGCTTTGTTCCAAATTTCACCTTTGGTACAAGAATAGACAGGTTCAACTATGATCATATTTATAGAACCTATGATAGGTTCACGTAAATATTCCTTTGGGAGGGTTATAGTTACATCTCATTAACTCCCTCGAGCCAATCTTTAAAAGTGACACAATTTTCGATCGTATGACCCAACATTCTGTGGAAATGACAATAGTTTGGACTATCTGTCCTACCAACTTCTTCCGGCCTCTTAGCTTCTAGAAGCTTGAACTCAGTCTTCTTTGACAGATTCCTAAAAATCTTGGCCACTGCCTCATTCTTGAAAGAGTAGAACTTGTTCAAGAGCTCTGTTAGGGTCAGTTTATTATAGGTTCTGGGTTGATTTGAAGATTTTCCTTGCTGAACAGACCTCTGCGCATACTGTCAATCCTGAGGCTGAGAATACTGAGGCACATACTGCTGATTAGGTTGAGGATATTGAGGTGGACGCTGACTAACTTGCTAGATGAATGGCTGAGGAAACTGGGGACCTGATTGCTGTTGTTGATAGGAACGTAGAGGATGGTCATCCCTATCATCGACTGCTTTCCTTTATCAACTGCAGATACCATCCTGACTCTCTTATCATAAGCCTTTGTTGGTCTGGCCTTATCAGCTTTACCTTCATTCGAGTGCTTAAGCTCCTCCTGAAGCTTTGCAGCCTTGGTGAGGAGCTTCTCGAAATACTTAATGGTAAGTCCCTTAAGCATGAAACCAATCTTTCCATGGATATTCTCAAGTACTATTTCAATTATATACTTTTCATCGATTTGTGGCTTGCATTTCATGCTTAGGTTTCTCCACCTTAAGAGATAATCCACTAGTGTCTCATTGGGCCTCAGTTGCTCCCTAATGAGATCTTCTATAGTCACTTGATGCTGTGTCCCAGTGAATCTTTGTATGAATATACTTTCTAACTCAATAAATGTTTTTACTGATCCATTAGGAAGATCAGTATACAACTCAAAGGCTATCCCCGATAAGCTCCTAACAAGTAGTTTGAAGAGAAGAGCATCGTTCCCATTTATGTTGCAACAGTTGGCTCTGAAGTGTGCTATATGCTGTCTCAGGTTTTCTGTTCCATCGAAAGTTTTGAAGGTAGGAGGCACAAATCTCTTAGGATTTGATACAAAATCAAACTCCTCTGGGTAGGGTCTACCCTTTGGGTGGGCTATGGCCTCTCTAACCTGCTGTTCCACATATTGTTTAATGTCCTTTTTAGGTATCGAGCTTTAAACGGAGTTTCTTTTGGGCTCATCCTCTTTATTGACAGAGGTTGCATCCCTTCTGTCATCCTTGATATGCACTATGTCTGGTGGATGCACCTCCACAGCTACTGGAGTCAGA